TAGTAACCAGAACTCTTGTGCTACAGATTTTGACCTGAATAGGAGTAGGAAACAGGTAGTGGTGCCCCTCAAAGATGGCCACAGTGCAACCTGTATCCTGTTGTTGTTGATGTTACATGCCGCAGTGACCCTGTACAGGGTTTTCGAGGGTGTAAATCTTTACGGGAGCAGAAAGCCTCATCTTTCTCCTATAGAACAGCTGGTAGTTTCGAACTGCTGACCGTGATTAGCAGCCCGATTTGTAACCACTACGCCTACCAGAGCTCCTTAACCTGTATCCTACTCAGGTTAAAATTGGGCCTGTAAGAGATTTGGTTGCTATGAAATGTGTAAACTACCCTTGTTTTCATGGGCCAGGACTAAGCCAATTGAACCAGCTGTAAGCCCTGTGAAGAAAGTCAAATAAGTGGTGAGTGACCAGTGGGACAGAAGCAGAGGGAACCTTTGGGCATCCTACTGACACTCAAGAGTGTTAGCAGTAGTAATTGTGCCAGGGATGTGTTTTAAATCATTTTTCCTTAGTGATGGCAGTAATTAGCTATTAAATCCCTTCTAATTACCATAAAATTAAAGTGGTTCTTTTTGAACCCAAACTTTGTTTCAACTGTGAGACCTGGCTGCAGAGAATGACTAACTAGATGCCAAGGGGACAGGCACTAATTTTCAAGCCCTTGTAACTGCCTGCACCTAATACGCCTTTCCCCTTCCAGCTCCCTGCTTTTCCTTTCTATTCACAAGAAACTGCAAGACACTTGCACCTGTTAGCTTTCACCCACCCCCACCTTCTCTCCTCTGTTCATCCCCATTCCCCAGCATCCCTGACCTCCTCTTATCCTTTAGACAGGGGCACCAACTGACCCACAGTCCCAACCCATCCTGTCATGATCCTGGGTCCCAGACCCTAGATGTGGCACTGAATTTTCTCTTCAGGGCCTTCCTGAGCTTGGAGAGAACCATCCCATCTGTTGTCTTCTCTCTCAAGTCAAAAATCCTTAGCATTTGAGGGGATTGTTGTTAAATGCTGTCCAGTCAGTTCCTACTCATAGTGAACATGCAGAGTTTTCAAGGAGTGGTCAGTGGATTTGAAACACCAACCTTGTGGTTAATAGTCCTGTGCTTGTCCAACAGTACCAGGAGGCACTTGCCTGCCTGTTGGAGAAGAGTAGTGACAATAGTCTACTAAGTTTTCCCCAGTCAAGTCATGCAGGGAAAATTGCCTCAGAAGGGGCACCATTACTTTGCTTTCCTGAACTTGTCCATTGTTTTTGGTCAGAATTACTAGCTTTACCTACTTACTTGTGAATGAAAGAAATCAACTCTCCCATTCTTACATCCCCATTAAATCCTCTCACACAAAAGTTCTGCACAGGTATCAGGTTTCTGTGCTATCCTGATCTTTCAGGAAATGTGAAAGGATCATCAGCAAAAATGAACTGCAGATTCCACACTCTGGACTTCAGGACTACATTGAATTGTGTACTATCCATTCTGATTGCTTGATTATAGTAGTGCCTCTAAAGCTATAACTGTCAGTTACACAATTTCCATTTGTACTGGGGAGGATTTTGTGGACAAGTGATTTGAATCTGTTGCTGTTGTATTGTTAAGTGCGTTGAGTTAGTGCCGACTCATAATGACACTGAATAGGGTTTTGAGGAACACAGCTGGTGGGTTTGAACTGCTGACCTTGTGGTCAGAAGTCCAGTTCTTATCCTACAACTGCCACACAGTTCTTATCCTACAATGCCAGGACTCCGAATTGAACCTACATGTAACTTATTCCTTATTAAGCTTTCAATTTATTAACTTATTGATGCATATCTGTATAGACTCACGGTGTCCTATTTTACTCAATGTTTTAATTCCTATCATACTTCTTTATTGTGATGTTCAAACCTAATCCCTTCATCCTTTTGATATATCATCATTCTTTGAGCACCTTGTTTCTACACAATTTGCTCGCGAATCATCCTGTAATTCCCTTGGCTCATACCTGGCATCAACTATTTCTCTAAAAAGGCCAGTTCCAGGGCCATAGGGATTTAGAAGGCAAGATCTAGGGAATTAGCATTCAGAAAGATGCCCTGGAATGTACTGATTTTCCTTTGCTTCTTGATGATAAAAAAAAGATGGGCAAAATGTGCCCCTGATCTGAAGGAACCTGTGGCATTATCCTGTTAGGGAGAATCCCTGAAGTAGTAAAATCTCTACTCAAAGGCAAAACAAACAAATTCAATGCCAAGGAGTCAGTTCTGACACACAGTGAGCGTATAGGACAGAGTAGAATTACCACACAGGCTTTCCAAAGCGTAAATCTTTGTGGGAGCAGAATGCTCTTTGTCTCATGGAATGGCTGGTGGGTTCAGATCACCAACCTTTCTGTCCCACCAAAGCTCCTCTCCATAAAGATTTGCTACAGAGTTTAAGAAATGCTGAAGAGTTTCAACCTTGTCCTATAGGATTGCTGAGTTGGGATCAAAGACAGGCCTGGGAAAAACCCAAAAGTACCTCCAGAGGATTTGTTGTTTTGCATCCTTTGGCTCTTTATACATGCCTGCTGCTAAAGAGTGCAGGATTTGATTAAATTCTGTTGATGAAATAGGAAGATTTGAAATAGACTGTGGGTGTAGCATGTAAGTTTGGCCACATAAACCATTCTGCTACTGCATTGTAGAGATACAATAATCGTCATATTAATAATCACCAATATTACCAATAATCACCAATAAGTTATTTTGACTTACTTTTGTCTGGTGTGTAGTGAATCCATTCTTCTAAAGACTACAGCCTATCTCGATTATATATATATATGTATATTGTCTTTCCCAAACAGATTTCTACTTCTAGAAATCTTATTGTGCATAAATTGAAGCTGATTTATCTGTTGCTCAGGTCTCAGTTTTTCTCTCAATATTTTGTGTTTATTTGATTTCTGAGGGAGTTTCTAAAATATATCTTATTTGTTTAAGCTTTCTACCTTATGTGATCTACAGTTTGAGTATCTCCGTCATACATTAAGAAGTGATCATATTTCCCATCCTTGTGACGCATGCCACATCAGGCTCTTCCTCCTGCACTGCCTGTTCCAGAAACTAGTCCGCAGCATTCCCTCAAATCTCATTACACTACCAATTATGACATGTATTGCAATTCTTGAATTTTTCTCACTTAAATTGATAATTTTTCATCTAATTAATTTTCTCTTTGTAAATATTTAATGAGAAGATATCTGTCTAGTACTTGCACTGAAATGAGTTCTGTAGATATTGTGTGGGTTTCTGCTTAAACTTCCTGGCACAGATGAAGAAGGAAGGAACTGTCTAGATGAATTGTAATTTTACTTTGTTTCACTAGAGATTCCGAATCCTACAAGGAATACAGAGATAAGAAATATAATGAAAATATCTTGGTCACAAAAATATTGTCAATATCTCCCAATCTCATTTCTGGGTTGGTTTTGGAATCTGCTGGAATGTCCCCTTCTTGACTAATTGACACAACTCATGTCAGTAGAATTCTGATACCAAGTACTGCTACTTTAACTGCCATGCTCGCCTGTGTCAAATATGAGCTGGGGGTGAGCACACGATTTTATTCTATCATACGAATCTGTGACCTGGTGAGCTATTTAGACTACTTCAAGGTAGTCTAAATGTCTCTTTTCCTATCACTCCCTAAAATCTCAATGTTCACAACATTTGCCATTAGAAGTGAGTGCTGTTGATGACATTCTGCTGCTGCTGACACTTACCATTAAGAGTAGCAGCTGTTAATGGAGTTGTAGATGAAAGGGAGTGTCTACCTATTCCCTTTTCCTAAGCACACTTTTACTTTGCATGAGGTAATTTGTGTGTTGGTCATTCCCTGTCTCAATTTTAACTTTAAAACAGCTTATAAAAATTCCTTTAAGTTTTTGATAGGTTGACAGCCTACTTTCTAGCAATGACAAAGATTTTACTAAAAACTTGTATGGTATTGCTTTTTTTTAATGGAGATTTGAAATGGAATGGGGATTAAATTTTCAGGATTTAGAGAACATTTTAAATTGATTGATTACAGTTTGTTAAAAACTAAAACTCAAATATGCAAAGGATTACTAAACACATTAAATTAAAAAAATAACTTTATTTTTTTTTTAATTAAAAAAACAAACAAACAACTTTATTTACTTGGTTACTGAAGCTCTGAGAATTCCACCTGGGTAATCTGTTCTGTACAAGGCTCTAATGACAGAATACAGCCTGTAACCTTTTCACATGTAAATAATTATTTCCAAAAGTACAATACCCTAGATTCCAAGCAAGTGAGTCTTTGAAATGTGTACTTCTTCACAAAAGATTCATGTCTTTCTTTGTTCATGAAAAACTTATTGTCTGCTTACTATGAAAAGCTTATAATAGCAAATTAACTTGTAGGATAAGTTGAATATATTGTGATATAATGGAGATTTTTAAAAATACACATTTTATTTTTCCTCACTAATATGTATATTGAGTATTACATGAACAAAATGGTAAAGGAATTGGAAACCTCCCTTTTTCTGGAATATACAGTATTTTAAAAAATACTGTTAGTTGTTACACATAAGATAATTTGCAACTAGATTAATAAAATTGCATACTTTTATATTAAAATACTTTAATGATAATGTTTTATTTAAATTTCACTGTAAAAATGGAAAATAAATCAAAGATTATAATTCAGAGCAGATTTTTATAATGAGTTTCAATTCTAAATGTAAAAAATCATAAATATACAATGAACATTCAAAGAAAATATATAAAGACACTTATAAGCCAGTGATAGCATACATGAATTCTATAATTTAAAAAGAGACATCAGCTACTTAAAGCTACAGGTATCACTGTGTAATTCACATTTCAAAACTCATTACAATAAAGAAAAGAAAACAACAACAAAAAATCATCAATTTATCCAATTGGTTATTCCCAATCAATATGAAGACTTCAAAGTTTTTTGATGAAATTCTCATTAGTCCACTACCACACCCCTGCTCTCTGCTACTGGCCTCCACTGCTTTCAAAAAACATGAAGTCCTAGATAAAAACAAAAACACAAAAATGAGCTTTGGCCACTAAAACAGAGATCAAGTCTTAGATGCAGAAATACTAAAAGGGTTCAGTGAAGCAATGGGATATTTGTGAAACAAGAAAAACTAAATATAATAATTAAATCTGATAAAAAGTGACATCTATATAAGCTCTTTCTTCACCTTTCCACTTTATTTTCTTTTATTTTCCTCTGCGTAGGATGTTAAATCTTATAATTTTATATATTAACTGATACCACTTGAAATTCGTTAATTCTCTGATAATTTCACTTTTTCTCATACTTTCAATTTCTTTTCTTCAAACCTTGTTATAGTACTTCTCTAGTAATGTAACTATTCTTAATGACCAAAGTACTATGTCTAACTTTTAGGGTTTTTTGTTTTTTGTTTTTTTTTTGGGGGGGGGTTTGGCGGGGTTTGGCATTGTTTTCAAAAGAACATCAGTTATTTGATAGTTAGATGGCATCTTAGAATTTTTTCACTCACTCTTCATCAATTATCTTCTCAGAATGTTTCACTCCATCATGATCTCCCCAGATTTTAACCTTTGTGATATCAGACCAAATCCTATGGGCCTTATTTCTTTCATATCTATCAATCTCCTTAATTCCTTCACAAAGAAATAATTCAATTCTTACTATTAACCTTTTGGAGTCCTGATGTGGCACTATAAGATAATGCACTGGACAGAAAGTCACTTTGAGCCACAAGGTCAGCAGTTCAAACCCACCAGCCAGTTATTGGGAACCCTATACTGGGTCGCTGAGTAGGAACTAACTTGATGGCACTTAACAACAATACCCACTAATCTTTTGAGTTATTTTAATTTACCAGGATTTGTCTTTCTGAAATTTGGATTTGCAACTATTTTATTTACACCTAGTTAAAAACCATCCAAAATAGCTAAAAGAAATTGCCCAACCTTGAGCATTCCATTGGCAGAAGCTTAACCTACTCTATAGTCTTTTCCTAAGAATCTTGCCAAATCAACATAAATACATCAGATTGTCCTCTCTTCCTCAAACACATGAGGATGAGGATGTATTTCACACTACTCTGCCTTTGGTTAATAAGCTCCTCAAGGCTTAGCATAAATTTTACTTTTTTATATAAAATGAACGCTTTTGAAAACATGAGCTTTAAGCATTGACTAATATTCCATCCTCTGGATATATACAATTGTAAAACTTTATTATAGGAAATATGTGTTAACAATATCCCAAATTAGAATAGCATAATGAAGTCCCGTGACACCTCACACATTTCAATAATTCTTAGAGCAGCTCAGTAATTATTCCTATACCTAGTCTTGTTTCATCTATCTCTCCCTGATCTTCTCTTTCCTCTGTCCCATTATTTAAAAGCAAACTCCAGATACCATATCATTTTATGTTGAAATGATTCACCATGTGCCTCTAAATAATATCCAATGTTTTATTTTAACATAAAAAAATCACTTTCATATCTAACAATAGTTATTAATTCTTTAATAACATTGACTATCCAACAAATGTTCAATTTTCCCTCATTACCTTTTGTGTCCTTTTACATGGATTAATTTGAATCACTATCCAAATATGTGAATCACTACTCAAACATGGTCTACCAACTATTTTAGCTTGATATGTCTATATATCTCCTCAGTAACTTTTATAATTCCCTCTTTTCCTTGTCATTTATTTGTCAAAGAAACTGAGTTATTTTTGCTGTATAATGTTCCATAGCTTAGGTTTTTCCTAACTGCATTCCCAAATCAATGGTTAAGATACTCATCTAGTGGTTCTCAACAATGGAATAACCTAGGAGCTCTAAAACATATGTATTCCCATCTCTGAAGATATAAACAGATCTGAATTTTGAACATGAGGATTCTGAAAAGCTATTCAGATCTTTTAATGTGCGGCTAAGATTGAGAACCATTGTTCTATCTCAGTGGTCCTCAAACTTGGCTGCATATTCAAATCATCTGAAGGACTTTAAAAACTACTGATTAAGATTGGGGTTCTGATTTATCTAAAAACAGGTATGGCCTGGGTCTCTGAGGTTTTAAAAGTGCTAAAGATAATTGTAATGTGCAGACAAGTATGAAGATCACTGCTCCTTCCTATGTAGTATTTCCTATAATTTGGTAGTCAGATCTGGAGGCTTGACTGGAATTTAGATATTTTGGGGTTTTTTGCATGAATATTATAAAATTTTACTAATATAAAATTTCCTTTATAATTTTATATTAGGTGATTTAAAGCAATAATGAATCAGAATGACATCTCCTGTTTCCTTGAGTTTTATTCCATTTATACCCAGAATCCAAGTCTTTCCAGATGGAGATAATTTTATGCAAATAATTTTGTCTTTGGCCTTGGTTCCTAAATATAATGTCTAAAACTTGAAATTTGCCTAATGATTGAATTATCTTTTATCTATAAGGGCTCCAGACCCACCTATCTAACATGCTAATAAGGTGGTTCAGGTGAGAAGGGGCAGAAATCCCAGAATGACTCATCACATGACACCAACTAATGTCATGGGTCAATCATGTCATGATGAGGACCCAATAAAGGCTCTAGATAGGAAGCTTCATGGCTTTCTGGTTGGTTAGAGACATCAGTGCATGTGGGAGGATAGTAGATCCCTTTTTGGGACACAGAAACTCCATGGTAGAAATGCTCCCAGGAGTTGTCCTATGCATCTGTTCTTTTGTATCATTTTTGCTACAATAAAACTATATTTGTAATCATAGTCTGTACTGAATTCTGTGAGTTATTCTAGCAAGTTATCCAAAGTTAACGGAATAGTAGAAGCCATCAGGTCAGAAGTGAGTAGTACTCTAGAAGCTCCTGAGTTTACAGTTGGCATGTTGAGGGAATAAGAAAACATTCAAATTTGAAGCCAGAAATTCTGAATAGATTGAGGATGTGTCAAAACATCAATTTTGATTTTTTAAATTAAATCAACCAGGGCCTTTCTTTAATATACAAGGTCTTTCTTTTACCACAGGGAGTTTTGCAGACTCAGCAGATAGTTCCTGTGGATCTGAGTATCAGCATCAAATAAAATTACAAAGCTAAAATTAAATGAGATCCTTTGTATTTGATCTGTATGCTTAAGAAGGTAGTTTTAAAAGGTGCAATTTATTGAATCATTTCAAAATGATACTAGAGAGTGAAGCATCCAGATGATATGAAATGGTGGAAGATGCACAAGAATACCCAAATTTACAGATAGTACCCATTTGACCTAGCCTTGATGTCTTGACAATCAGAACTTGACTAGAAGATGGTAGAAGAAACCAACAACACACACAAAAAATTTTTGATAAAGGAAACGAGTGTAAATTACCACAATTTGACAAACTTGACCTACACTCATGGATGTAATAGCTCAAAATACCAACAGAGAGGGAAGGAGTCTTCACATCAAGTATCAATGCTATCCCCTCTGTATACAGAGTAGATAGGAACAAGCAACTTAGACACTGACTACCTAAAATGAGGGGACAATAAAAGGCATGATGTGACTGGCTTACAAGTTTTCAAAAGGGAGTTTAGTTTAATAGTATGTAGGGGAAGGTAGAGTCCTCACTGAATAGTTTTCATCTTGTCTAGATTGGTCTGATGAAAAGAGATGGGCAAAGATTCTTATGATTCAAAAGTAAGTAACTGATACCATGATTAATTGTGACTGTCACAATTGTAAAGGTAGAAGTTTTGTAAACAAATTGGGGGAGTAGTTAATCTTACAGTTGAGAAACAAAGAACCCTAGGATCATCAAGGGAGAAGAGCACAAGCGGAATGTGGGACCCTATCCAGAGAAGCAGTAACACCAGAGATATAGGTAGAGATAGGGACATGGAGTGAGGGAGCATCTGAGGACTCTAAATTCATAGAAAGAAGTAATGAGAGCTGGTGGCCAGGAGGTAGGCTTGCAGAACGTGCCCTTTGGTGGTTAAATTATTATATATACCTGAGTATTTAAAAAAAAAAAAAGTTAAAATGAATAGAGAGGAGTACTGTTAACTGATGGTACATGGAGGGGATTATAATCATTGTAATGAAGCAAAGTATATGATTTGTTGAATGTGAAACTGATGATCTGCCCTGTAAACTTTCACTCAAATTACAGTAAAAAAGAAAAAAAAAAGATACTAGAAGAAACATCCCAAACCAAGATCAGTGAGAACAGACTTACAATGAGGAAACATGCGCCCAGCATCACAGCTTTCATTTTAACATCCAGGTCTAAAGGGAACTGGATCCCAAAATTATCTGCATCTGTAAATGCCTCTCTCACAATTCCAGTCCAGTGTTTTGAAATTCTGCCAACCACAGTTTCTTCATCAAGAGATTTAATCTATATTGGGAAAAGTAAAATACAGCCTTAAATAATTTTAGAAAACAAGTAACAAACTAAATTTAAAGTTGAAGTAAAAACAAAACAAATATTGTACTAATATTATGTGCTATATGTAACTTAGAATATTATTTTTTATTAAATACATATAGTTAGCTGTGTTTATGTTGCTGTTGTTAAATGCCATCGAGTCAGCTAACTTACAGTGACCTTGCATAGGGTTTCCAAGGAGCAGCTGGTAGGTTTGAATTGCTGAGCTAGCAGTTAGTTGTTGTTGTTAAGTGCTGTTAAATTGGTCCTACTCATAGCGATGATCCTGTATAGGGTTTCCAAGGAGTGGCTAGTGAATTTGAACTGCTGATTTAGCAGTTCAAACTGACTTTGTGGTCCAGCACTTATCTAGCAGTGTCACATCAGGGCTCCTGATGTTGTTGTAAGTGCCATCGAGTCGGTTCTGACTCATAGTGACCTTGTATAGCATTTCCAAGGAGCAGCTGGTGTGGGTTTATAAATATACATTTTTTTAATTACAGAGAATTTATATGAAAATAATTTTTCTGAAATACTCAATATCCTCTATTTTTTACATTAAGACATTGTTGCTGTTAAGTGCTATTGAGTCGGTTCCAACTCGTGGCAACCCTGTGTAGGGTTTCTGAGGAGTAGCTGGTGAGTTTGAAGTGCCAACCTTTTGGTTTGCAGTCCAATGCTGATCCTACAGTGCCACACCAGAAGTCTTACATTGAAACAGAGAGTAGTAAATCATTTGAGCTGATCTAAAACAAAATTTAAGCAGAAAAGGATGCAAGTATAAAATGCTAATTGAATGAAATTTCTAGACACCATGTGACTCCCATGTGACTTCTGCTTTAAGGGAAGCCAAAATGTTTACACAGGCCAAGAGTTTATGACAGGAGAGGTCAGGATGAGTTTGAATGTACTGGATGGCAACTGGTTTGGGATTTTATTTTTTGGTCAACAGGGGAAAGTGAAATCTCCAGAGCCTGAAAAAGCAAACTGATAGTTTTTAAGGAAGGCCAATGGCCAATAAGCTTCCAGTCAAAGAAAACCAGGACTGGATAACATACAACTTGTGATCAACAACAATAACAAAATAAAAGGGAAGGGAAAGGTGTATTAAAGAAAGAGTTTAAAGGATTTTTTTTCTAATTTTTACCCAAGGAAGTTGAGGACTATCATAGAATTTAACAGATCATGCCAAGAACAAAAGTACCTAGTCAAATACGCAAAGGTGGAAGATAAATGTAGCTCACATTTACCAAGCTAACAATATGCAGTGTTGTGTCATCTCAGGGAAAGGTGTATATTTTTTTTAGTTTGCACAAGGCACCATATGTTAGTAACACCCTGCCTCCAGTTGGGACAAGCTATATAACTTAGGGAAACCAAAAGCAGCTGACTCACTTTATTTGGGTGCAGGTAGAGGGGATCCTGAAATAAACTCATGTGAAAACTGTAAAAGCAAACTGTTAATCAAATAGTGATTTCACCAGCACCACCCCACTATTAACACCCCATTGTGGGTTGAGTATACTCACTTATACTTCCTTAACAATTTATATTTTACCTGGCTAGGTAACTTGCTTTGACCAATGATTTGTTAGCAGATGTGTCAGGAACACATCTGCTTTGGTGTGGCTCTATTCTCCAGTGACTGACTACTAGAAAAGCATGACCAAGGCAACTGCTGCCCTAGACTCCCATAAGCAAACCGGAACCCAGTCTGCACCTGAAGTTAAGCTCAGACAGACTGCAGCCATCTAGCTCAGTCTAGACAATCCACTAAACAAAGAGACCTGTAGACCTGCAACCAGGAGAATAATTTTGCTTTAAGTCACTGAGATGGAGGGGTGGTTTGCTCTAACAATTACTGGGCAAAACAGACTAATACAAATTCCCTTTGGCCTATGGCAGTGTCTCATCTGCTAATACTACTATTTAAGTATTTGAAGGAGCCCTGCTTTGGCAAAGGTTAAGTGCTTAGCTGCTAACTGAAAGGTTGGTGGTTTGAACTCACTAAGTGGCTTTATGGGAGAAGATTCCAGACACAACAAACCCTTTGCCATGAGTACTTAGCCTTTGCCCAAGCAGGGCTCCTTCAAATACTATATTTTGCAAATTCAGTTGTGGCCTGGTTTTACCTCTCAGTAACAAATGAATCAGGAACTGGTTGGAAGTCCTGGCCTAGTTTATCAGATTTTCTGATTTTACAAGAGAATCAATATTTCAATATTAAGGTATATAACACATCCATTTTTTAAAAACTTACAACAAATTTTCGATGACAGGGCTAAACTATCTGTTGTAACATAGCTGTAGTGAAATTCCATGATGTAGTACAAACAGAAATATGTGCAGTTTCCAATGACCTAAATTAATACAAGGATAAAGTACAGCCAATAGAGATGCATGACTGGATGTGTAACACTATCTTTCTTAAATGCTCTTCTTATAACTGAGCCTTTAAGGATGAATTCGTATGCTTTGTCAATTAAATGTAGATAATAGGGCCAATGTTCTACAGTCAGCACAACTGACGAAATAGAAAATTATCCCATTCTACTCTAACTTCAGATTATCAGTTGTTCGAAGAATTTATTTCAAAATCTAATTTTGGTTATGTAATTTCAGATTATCAGTTGTTTCTAAACAGTTGTTCGAACAGAACATGGGAACACTGAATGGTTTAAAATTAAGAAAGGTGTGCGACAGGGTTTGTATTCTTTCACCATACTTATTCAACCTATATGCTGAGCAAATAATCCAAGAAGCTGGGTTCTATGAAGAAAAATGTAACATCAGGATTGGAGGAAGACTCATTAACAATCTGTGATATGCAAATGATACAACCTTGCTTGCTGAAAGTGAAGAGGACTTAAAACATTTACTGATGAAGATCCAAGAGCACAGCCTTCGGTATGGATTACATCTCAATGTAAAGAAAACAAAAATCTTCACCACTGGACCAATAAACAACATTCTTAACAATGGAGATTAGATTGAAGTTGTCAAGGACTTCATTCTTCTTGGATCAACTATCAACATTCATGGAAGCAGCAGTCAAGAAATCAAATGATGTATTGCATTAGGCAAATCTGTTGCACAAGACCTTTTTAAAGTGTTGAAGAGCAGAGATGTCAGCTTGAGGACTAAGGTACGCCTGACCCAAGCCATGGTATTTTCAATAACCTCATATGCATGTGAAAGTTGGACAGTGAATAAGGAAGACTGTAGAAGAATTGATTCTTTTGAGTTATGGTGTTGGAGGAGAATATTGAAAGTGCCATGGGCTTCCAAAAGAACTAACAGCTCTGTTTTGGACAAAGAGCAGCCAGAGTGCTTGTTGGAGGCTAAGATGGCCAAACTTCATCTCTCATACTTTGGACATATCGTCAGGAGGGACCAGTCTCATTGGAGAAGGATATCATGTTTGGTAAGGTGCAGGGTCAGAGAAAAAGAGGAAGACCCCAATGAGATGGATTGACCAAGTGGCAGCATCAATGGACTCAAGTGTGGTAACAGTAGTGAGGTTGGCCCAGGATCGGGCTGTGTTTCGTTCTACTGTGCATAAGGTCACTATGAGACGGTACTGACTCGATGGCATCTAACAACAAACAACTCTAATTTCTATAGGAATCTACCAGATTTTTTTGTTGGCTGTTTCAATTTTGTTTATTTGACTGCATGCCTATCTCTTCTTTTTTCTCCATTTAGCAATATCACCACTGATATTTAATCAGAGGCATAACTGTTTCACTGATCAAAGTGAAATACAGAAGCATATTTGCTCCCTTTTGAACTATTAGTACACAGATATTTATTTAATGTATCTATAATATCCTACAAAGTCATATGGTTAATATTAAGGAAGTAGGTCATGTAAGCATTATCACATCTCTTACCTCAAAGTTAACATCGCCACAACAGCTGCATACAACACATGGGCCAGCAATTTTTAATACATCCTCTTTTTTCTCATTTTGAATTGTAAACTTTGGTAGACAGGGGTGCCAGTTCTGAATAACATAACCTACTGGAACACCAGGAGGAGATTGGATTTCAATCTGAAAAAGGAAAAAAAATGTACTAATAACAATAATAATAAGTCTAATAGCTCTCATTATTGAATACTCCCCATGTTCCAGGTAGTGTTGTAAGCCCTACATGTTATGTTTTGAATTAACTGAGTTATGGTGTTGGATAATAATAACCTTATCATTATCCTTATTTTATAAAGGAAAAAAATGAGGAATAGAGGAATAGAGAGGCTAATTAACTTGTATCAGATTCCTCAGCTACTCAGTTGTTATTGTTGTTAAGTGTCATTGAGTTGGTTCTGACACATAGTGACCCTGTACAGGGTTTCCAACGAAGAGCTGGTGGATTTGAACTGCCAACCTGTGGTTTGCAGTCCAGTACTGATCCTACAGTGCCACACCAGGAATCCCCAGTGCAATATTAAATGGCAAATAATTCTGTGCTAATATCTCTGTATCATGCTCTCATAACAAACTGTGAGCAAGGCTGGTCTGCAAGCAATGATGTTATAGACAAAGGGACAACTTTCCTCTCTGCCCTGGTTTTTCCTCTGAGATACATATACTATATGCATGAGCTGTCAAAAAGAGAGTTGATTTTTAAGATGAAGGTACTCCTGGCCAGAGGTATTCCTATTACAAAAGAGGATTCTAATATACACATTTTTGTTTTAATGTAAAAATGTAAAACATAGGAGTTGAGGTTTTTCAGAGGAAGCCTCTCTTAGATTAACTCTTCAGTAAGTCAGGGAAACAAAATTACAGGACCAATATATTCAGTTATTTCTGGAATGGTGTGGTATTATATGATATTCTCAAGACATTCCCTGGCTTTGACCAGGCCTCTTATGGTCATTACTGGTGAGGGGTTTGACCAATAGGCTCTATTCTCTTGGATCTATCTGGAGATCAAGAAGTTGGGTCCTTGCATGGATGTTTGATCCCACAATGCCCACTGCTTGGGGATATGAGGTGATTGTTCACTGTTTATCACTTGCCTTCTTTCCTTTCTAATTGACTCTATAGAATAACCCAAAAGCTTGTGGATTGTTTTTCCTTTTAACTGAATTTGATTATATAGATTCAAAGAAAGGGTGCAAATTCAAACCTAATTAGTTTACAAACTGCTGTGGTAATTGCTCACCAACCTCCTGAAGGCAGCAGGGAAAACAACAGGAGCTACATCTTAATGGTCTATCCAGAACAATGACTTCTCGGCCCAGGTTATCAAGAATCTTCATGGCAAAAGGTCTAGCAGGCCCACAACAATTTCGGGTACAGCAATCAGTATCTTCTGCTGCAAAGTAAATCCTCTGTCCAAGACTGTTTTTAATTTCATATTTGTTATTGGTTTCAAAACCTGTTAGGACTAAAAATATAAAACAAGAAACCATAATTAGCATGATGTAAAAATGAACATTCAATTATCCTAAAATATTATAAAATACAGATGTACCATTTTTTAGGTGCTATTAAGAGAGCTCTGGTAGCGTAGTGGTTGCGAATCGGGCTGCAAACCACAAGGTCGGCAGTCAGAACCTACCAACTGTTCCGCAGGAGAAAGATGAGGTTTTCTGCTCCCATAAAGATCTACAGCCTCAGAAACCCTGTACAAGGTCGCTATGAGTCGGAACCGACTCCACGGCACATAACAACAACAACAACAATTAAAAGAAGCATAAGAAAAAATAAAAAGAAAGGTGTGTAGAGATAGTCCAGATGGAGAAAAAAAGAAAAAGAGAGTATATTGAACTTTAAAAAAATGAGGAATATCCCATGTTAGACCAAAAGAACCAAATGATTTCTTCCTAATTTCATAAACTCATGTCAGAGAATATAGACTTTGCAGCTGAGGATTGGTGCAATGCTGCAGGCAGACATGGTAACATTCAGTGTTTCAGGATGAATTCTCTAGAGAAGCAAAACTGGCTTAAGCAATGAAACCACATCTGCAAGAGCAACAGCAGTTGGAGTTACCACCTGGTTAAATTTATGGTAATCTACTGTCATTATCTCTAAGATCCTTCTTCTTCTTCTTTTTTTTTTTTTTTTTATATAGGACAAATACAAGAGGGCTTAAAAATGTTTACAGAAAGATTCCAGTACTTTTCATTTCCATTTTACCATGAACTTTTTGAAGCTCACTCATAGGCAAGTTAAATGCAGATGTGGTAGGAATCATCACTCCTGCAGCATACAAATTCAGGATGGTGGCACTAATCTTTGCAATTCCTGCAGGAATGCAGTATTGCTTATGGTTTATTATTTTCCTAGGTAGAGGCAGTTTTACTTGGCTTTTCTTACCATAATAACCCATATTCCATACATCAGGGATCCAACGTGGGTGTTCTGCTAGTTGCTGAGCATGTATATTTAAATTATGTATTTTGGAATTGCGGAAATCACTACAGGATGGGTTCAGGGACCCACTATGAGATGGACCTGAGCTACGAGTCCATTAATAACTTGACCCCTCACTCTAACTGCTTGTCTACAGTGATGTTTTTGATCTTCTGGAATTATTATCAATTCAGAGTTAGTATCTACTAATCCCCAAAAGGTGTGATTATTTCCTTTCCCCCAGTGAACAGTTACTGTTATTAAAGGCCATAGATCCCTTTGGGAAAGGCTGGGGAAAACCAACAACAATAAACTAACAAATTTTTGCCAGTGTATTGAGTCCTTCCTCAAGGAGACCCAGCTTACATTTCATCCTTGAGGTAAACTGGCTCAAGTTTGAGACTGGACTGAGGGCCAATAATCTGTATTCTGACAATCTGAGTTAAACTGCTATTCACTTGACCTAGAATTCCTCTACTTGTACAGATCAAGTAAATATTTCATATGTTCCCCATATATTTCACTCCTAGGGACACGCTGCCTATGTAGCCAATGCCATAACTTCATATGAATTATACTGTTTTGATTACTACTTTGACCCTACAGTTTAGTATGGCAACCATACACAGCATGTGTGGGCTGTGGGTTAATGTGCTGGACTGCAAAGTTGGTTTGAACTGAAAGGTAGGCGGTTCCAGCTTACCAGCTGCTCCTTAGAAACCCTATACAGAGTTGCTTTGGGTCTGAACTAACTCGATGGCACTTAACAACTACACTTGGCCCCCTACCACCATGGGGCTCAATCAGCTCATTGTAGTTAAGTGTCTTAATTCAACTAGGGAAGTTCCCTCTGTCAATCTGATTTATACAAAGCAACAATCACAGGTGTCTTCAAGGATGCTGGGGCTCCCTTCACAAATTTGTTCCTCACTGTTGTGGTAAAAGATGTGTCCTTTGGATACTCTATGTGCAGGTCTGTTGATCTAACCTAATAAATACACTTTTAACATGTTAATCCCTACATCTTTTGGATATCTTCTTCTACAGTATGCCAAGGCAGAGCTTGTACTTCAACTTAATTTATTGTAAGCCACCATATAATTGATGCATCAGTGAATCAACCAAATAAATGATTCGATTCTACACTAACCTCTCAAACTGAAACACTAAATAAAGAATCTGTGCTTAGTGGGAACTTTGTGTTCCTTGAGCCATTATCCCACACCCTTAACAGGGTTACAAGAGACAAAGTTTGGCCATCTTAGCCTCCAAGGAACACTCTGGCTGCAGTTCTTCCAAATTGGATCTATTGGTTCTTTAGGAAACTCATTGCACTTTTATTCCCACACATATTATCCAGATTTCTGTTTGTATATCTTAGGAAAATCAAGCAATTCTTTTGGAGTGTAGCATTTCTTAATCCTCTGACATAATTTGTACTTCCATTTGGGGCTCGATAGGACTTAAGTCGAGTTATAGGTCTAGAAGTACTAATGAATGGTGGGAGTGTTTGTAGGAAGCATTCAATTTATATTTGTATATATACAGAGAGATCTGTCTCAAGGAAATGGCTGTTATTGTTAGGTGCCATCGAGTCAGTACCAACTTATAGCGACCTTAAGCACAGCAGAATGAAACACTGCCCGATCCTGGGCCAACCTCATTACTGTTGCTACACTTGAGTCCATCGATGCTGCCACTTGGCCAATCCATTTCATTGGGGGTCTTCCTCTTTTTCTCTGACCCTGCACCTTACCAAACATGATATCCTTCTTCAGTGACTGGTCCCTCCTGACAATATATCCAAAATAAGAGAGACTAAGTTTTGTCATCTTAGGCTCCAATGAGCACTCTGGATGCACTTCTTACAAAACTGACCTATTGGTTCTTTTGGAAGCCCATGGCACTTTCAATATTCTCCTCCAACACCATAACTCAAATTCATCAATTCTTCTACAGTCTTCATTATTCACTGTTCAGCTTTCCCATGCATATGAAGTTATTGAAAATACCATGGCTTGGGTCAGGAGCACCTTAGTCCTCAAACTGACATCTTTGCTCTTCAACACTTTAAAAGGGTCTTGTGCAGCATATTTGCCCACTGCAATACATCATTTGATTTCTTGACTGCTGATTCAATGAGTGTTGATAATTGATCCAGGAAGAATGAAGTCCTTGACAACTTCAATCTAATCTCCATTGTTAAGAATGTTGTTTATTGGTCCAGTGGTGAGGATTTTTGTTTTCTTTACATTAAGATGTAATCCATACCAAAGGCTGTGCTATTTGATCTTCATCAGTAAATGTTTTAAGTCCTCTTCACTTTCAGCAAGCAAGATTGTATCATCTGCATATTGCACGCTGTTAATGAGTCTTCCTCCAATCCTGATGCCACGTTTTTCTTCATAGAACCCAGCTTCTTGGATTATTTGCTCAGCATAGAGGTTGAATAAGAATGGTGAAAGAATACAACCTTTTTGGCCCCCTTTTCTTAATTTTAAACCATTCAGTGTTCCCATGTTCTGTTTGAACAACTGCCTCTTGGTTCACGTACAGATTCCTCATGAGCACAATTAAGTGTTCTGGAATACTCATACTTTGCAATGTTGTCCATAGCTTGTCATGATCCACACAATCGAAAGCCTTTGCATAGTCAATAAAGCACATCTTTCTGTTATCCTCTGCTTTCAGCCAAGATCCATCGGGCATCAGCAATGATATCTTTCGTTCCACAGCCTCTTCTGAATCCAGCTTCAATCTCTGGAAGATCTCTGTCAATGTATGCTTGCAGCCATTTCTGTATTACCTTTAGTAAAACTTTACTCACGTGGGATATCAAAGAGATTGTCTGATGATTTCCGCATTCCATTGGGTCACCTCTCTTTGGAATGGGCACAAATACGGATGTCTTCCAATCAGTCGGCCAGATAGTTTTCTTCCAAATTTCTTGGCATAGATGAGTGAGTGCCTCCTGTGCTGCCTCACTTACTTGAAATATTTCAATTTTTATTCCATCAATTCCTGGTGCTTTGTTCTTTGCCAGTTCCTTCAATGCACCTTGGACTTCCTCCTTCAGTATCATTAGCTTTTGATCATATGCTACCTCTTGAAATGGTTGAACATTAACCATTTCCTTTTGGTGCAGTGACTCTGTGTATTCTTTCCATCTTCTCTTGATGCATTCTGCATCATTCAATAATTTGCCCAGAGAATCTTTCAGTAACAAAAGTCGAGGCTTGAATTTTTTTCTTCAGTTCCACCAGCTTGAAAAATGCTGAGGGTGTTCTTCCTTTTTGGTTCTCCGATTCTAATTCTTTGCAAATTTTATTATAGTATTTGCCTTTATCTTCTCGAGCTGATCTTTGAAATTTTCTATTCAGATCTTATACCTCCTCATTTCTTTGATTTGCTTTAGCATCTCTATGCTGGAGAGCAATTTTTGTGTCTCTTCTGACATCCATTTTGACCTTTTCCTTCTTTCCTGTCTTCTCAATGACTTTTGCTTTCTTCATGTATGATGTTCTTGATGTCATCAAACAACTCTTCTGGTCTTCTTTCTTTTGTGTTTAATGTATCAAGTCTGGTCTTCAGATGACCCCTAAATTCAGGTCGGATATATTCAAGGTCATATTTTGTCTCTCGTGGACTTGTTTTCATTCTCTTCAGCTTCAGTTTGAATATGCATATGAGTAATTAATGGTCTGTTGCACAGTCTGCCCCTGGCCTTGTTTTGACTGATGATATGGAGCTTTTCCATCTTCTCTTTCTGCAGATGTAGTCAATTTGATTTCTACGTATTCCATCTAGTGATATCCATGTGTATAGTCATCTCTTATGCTGTCTAAAGAAGGTATTTGAAATGAACAAATCATTGATTTTGCAGAATTCTATCATGCATTCTCCAGCATCATTTCTATCACCAAGACCATATTTTCCAACTACTGATCCTTCCTCTTTGCTCCCAACCTTTGCATTCCAATCCCCAGTAATGATCAATACATCTCAACTGCATGTTTGATCAATTTCACATTGAAGAAGTTGGCAGAATTCTTCTATTTCATCCTCACTGGCTTTAGTGGTTGGTGCATAAATTTGAATAATAGTAGTATTGACTTCCCTGTAGCCCCATGGATATTATCCTATCACAGACAGCATTGTATTTCATGACTGATCTGGATATGTTCTTTTTGACAATGAATGCAACACCATTCCACTTCAATTTGTCATCTCCGACATAGTAAACCATGTGGTCATCATATTCAAAATGGCCAATGCCAGTCCATTTCAGCTCACTAATGCCTAAGATATAGATGTTTATGTGTTCCATTTCATTTTTGACAACTTCCAATTTTCTTAGATTCACACTTCGTAAAATCCATGTTCTGATTTTCAATGGATGTTTACAGCTGTTTCTCTTCATTTTGAGTTGTGCCCCATCAGCAAATTTAGGTTTCGCAGGCTTTTCTCCCATGGGCTTTACTCCATTCTCATCATCATGGTCAACTGTACTTTGAGGAGGCAGCTCTTCCCCAGTCACATTTTGAGTGCCTTCCAATCTAAGGGGCTCATTTTCTGACAGTGTTTTTCTGCTATTCATAAGGTTTTCAGTGACTAAATATTTGGAAGTAGTTTGTCACTCCTTCTTCCTAGTCTGTCTTCGTCTGGAAGTTCATCTGAAACCTGTACACCATGGGTGACCCTGCTGGTATTTAAAATACCGGTGGCATAGCTTTCCGAATTATAGTAACTCACAAGCCACCACAGTATGACAAACTGACAGACAAGTGGTGGAAGGAAATGTCTGTAGAGGCTGACAAGTTCCAAGTCTATGGGTAAAATGTCAAGCTGGAGGCTTCTGCAGACTCATAGTTGCAGGGGTGGACAAATCCAAAACCAGCAGATCAGATGGGAGTCTGCTGGCTATAGCGGTGAGTAAGTCCAAACTCAGCAGGTAAAATAGCAGTTTACTGACTCCCAGAATCAACAGACAATATAAAATTCCTATGGCTCCATGCCAAAGAACCAGGTGAAGTCAGATGATAAGCCAGGAACAATACCCAGCAAAGAGCAAATAAACTTTGTCAGAGTACACACATATTTGAAGCAGGCCACACTCCTCAGGAAACTCCCTTTCAATTGATTGGTGATTCATAGCAAAGCGAATCAAGGGGGTGATTGCAGTATGTCAGATCTCATTATGGGAAGTGACTCAACCTTAACTAACAAAGCACTGAGAATCATGACTGAGCCAAGTTGACACACATATTAATCGTTACATTCAATTTACAGATAAATGTCCTTTTTCTCAGAATATAACAAAACCTGTGTAAGGCAGAAACCTCTCAGAAAAGGAAAAGTCGAGCATTTTCCACTAACAGTGATAGAAAAGTGTTAGACTGCACTCTGTCAAAGATAGAAAACTTAAGAGATGCAGAAAAAAAGGCCGTCCCATGGACTTCCAGATCCCACAAGTTTATGGTACTTTGTTCAGAGCTGTGAATAATGTACTCAAATTATGGAGAAGAATACAGAATTATTTCTGTGTTTATTTTTAATGATATATATCTAATGAACTAGTTTTAGATTATTTTATAAATCATACTTATAGCTAGTGTTTTGAACTGTGTTTGAAGAAAAGCAATTGGAGAGTTTACTGTTATGCACACATGTCAAAGGGGAGAGAGTGAAAATGGAAGATGAACTAAAATATCAGACAGGGCACAAGAGACCCTTATGTAGCTCAGTATTGACTGCTTAGAAGTGAAAGATGGGTTTGGGGCAAGAGAAAAAGTTGCTTGGGACCAGCGTTACAACTCTTAGACTATCAAGATTAGTGGTACCAAAAAGCCCATGTCCATAGAGTCGATTCCAACCTACAACAAGCCTACAGTACAGAGTAGAATTCTCATTAAGGTTCCTGACAGTTGAAATCTCTATGAGAGCAGATACAGGCTCATCTTTCTCCTGTGAAGCAGCTGTTGAGTTGAAACCACTGACCTTGTGGTTAGCAGCTTGATGCTTAACCTATGGTGGCAGAGTACCTTTCTGCACTTTAGAGTAGCTAATCTCTGTGTGGGGGAAATGGAGAGATGCTACATGATGACACAGACATTTATCTTTCCAAAGGGCTTCCCAGCTTGAACCACACATTATTTAGAACCAAACGGATCAATGGTTTAGAGCCAGGAAGAGCAATTAAGGGTTCTACTTGTTCCTAGCTTTAAATACATGAATCACAGCAGTTCACCCCACCAGCCACTCCTCTGAGACCCTATACAGGGTTGTTATGAGTCAGAACTAACTCAGTGACATTTAACAACAACAATAGGGGTAACAGAGAGGATCGTGGTAGCTCTGTATGATAAGCACTGGACTGTGAACCACAAGGTTAGTGGTATGAGCCCAATGCAGCTCCATAAGCGAAAGATGAGGCTTTCTGCTTGGGCAAAGATGTACAGCCTTGGAACCCTACATAGGGTTACTATATATTGGAATCAACTTAACAACAGTAGGGTAACAGAAGTATGACCAAAATAATGAGTGATTAAAAAAATCACTCTATAATATTTGTGTGGGAAGACTTCTAGTCAGAGAAGTCTTTCACAAGTTCCATCAACATGAACTCCCTTAAGTCTCTGTTCAGACTAAGGCATGCCTTGGACTTACTTTTATGAGAAACATTCTTGACCTCAACTTCTGTCACCAGTCAAATGTTTGGTGAACAAAAAATTAAATAATTATCCAGTTATTGTTGCTGTCAAGTGCTGTTGAGTTTGTTCCAGCTCATAGCGACCCTGTACAGGATTTCCCAGGAGCAACTGGTAAGTTTGAACCACTGACCTTTCGGTTCAAACCGAGCTTGCAGTTCAATTCATTAACCCACAGCCCACACCAGGATTCCAATTATCCAAGTAACTGTATATTAAACTATGAGATCATTGGGTGACACAATAACTAGTTTTCCTTCTACTTAAAAAATGGAAACAAAATGAAAACAATTATATTATCTCTTTACTGTCTATGTAAAATTTGAATTTCAGTAAAGTATATAATACCTGGTCATAATCTCAGTGGATAAAAGTAAACTACTCATAATGTTAAAAAATAACCTAAGTTTTCAGTTTGGAGCAAAAACAACCAACCAAACCAAGAAAGATATCTTTTAAAAAACAAAAAAACTGCACAATTAAAAACATGTAAAAAATACAATAATTTAATTTTAATTTTCACAATAAAATTTATTACACAACAAAAATAATTTTCCCAAGAACCTTTAGCGAAAATAAAGAAAACATGAACATTATAAATATATGACAATGTCAAATAATTTAAGTGACTTATTACATGTTAACCAAATCCATTACTCAGCAGAACAATTCATGTTCTACATTCTACTAATAGAAAACAACTTTGCAGAGAGGTGAAGATACATTTAAAAGATCTATCCTAAAAACTAGCTTGACATTTTATTAAACCCTTTATATTTAGAAGATTCATGAATCTACCCAGGTTCTCATTCTTCTGATGGTGGTCCTAATGTCTCTATTGGCTTCTTAATTTTATTCTTCCACCTGGGAAGCTCTGCACCAAGGAAACATATTGTGGATAAGGGCCCCATTCAGTATAAGTAGGAAAGTTTGTCTAGGAAGCAAGGCTACCAGGCCTGCTGAAATCTTCCAACTTTGCAGTTATTTTACAATCAGGCTGGTTAATCCACAGTCATTAAGCAAAGATTTCTAGGGTTCAGCTGAACTCCCAAGAGAAACTATGAGTAGAATTAAGAATCTTTCAAAAATTGATTTCCACCAACCACTGTGGAAATGCACTAAGATAACTGAACTATTGCATCTTGCTTTGCACCAATTTGAAGGTGATCACAAATTGGGACTGTATGACAGAAGTGAAGTGAAGTGATAAAATCACCTTAAGTGATCTGTACAAAGAGAAGGGAGCAGAAGTAACTTTTGATTGTTTTCCTTATTTCTAAGTGTGACAGTTAAGATTATGTATCAAATTGGCTAGGCCATGATTCTTAGTGATTTGCCATCATCCTTTATTTTGTGATCTGACATGAGTAGCCAATTACTTGTAAGAGATGTTTCCTTGGGGTGTGGTCTGCTTCCAGTAGATATAGATATTGCGGAAGAGTGCTCTTTCACTGTGTGTGTCTGTCTCTTGAACCTACATTAAATCCTATATTCACCTCTATATACTCTGACACCAGCTCTTGGAACAGGAACTAGCAGGCTGCTGCCTAATTTGGGTTTCATCAGATGCTGCTACCATGAGTCAGAAACCTCTAGTCTCCTACTGAATGATTATTTTGGGACTTCCCAGTCCCCACAATTGCATGAACCATTTACTTGTAGCAAATCTTTCTCTATATATTTATATAAATGCTTCATTGATTTTTCTCCTGTAGAGAACCCAGCATGAGACACTAAGAGTAGGGGTCAAATAGTTAAATACCTTATCATTGGGCTTATATCATGAGGACAGATGCCCAGTGATAGCAGTATTTAGTTATTTGACCCCTACTTTTCAGGAATAAACCACTACTAATCATCACCATTTCATTATTTCAATAAGAGACATTTGTTTATTACCAGGCTTAATGGTCTACATTTGCAAGTGCTACGATGACCAACTTTATCAGCATACATTTCTTATGTTTCTAAATATATGTTCAATAAAATGAATACATACCTTCCAAAAGTTCAATTTGCTGATGTACCAGTATCTGATCTATCTATTACAGAAAGAAAATTTAGCTGTAAGAATATGTCCAATGAATGTTTTTAAAAATCAAGCAGAATGATATGCATTCTCTTACATTCTTAAAAAGTATATGTAATCAATGCAAATAATGATGTATTATCAGTATAAAATAATTTATATTATGTTGTAATAAAAAACTCAAGCCAACATATTTTTCATTGAAATATATCAGCTGAAAGTGTTGAAAACATTTAGACTTTTACCTCTACTTTAGAACAAACAAAATTGACTAACATTAGAATCCATGTAAATTAGAGAACAAAGTTCCATGCATAAGAATTTTAATAAATACTAACTTTTCAAAATCCGTTTAATGGACTAATTTCTACTAGTTTCAAAATTATTCTTTTTAAGTGCACTTGATACTTTATGTGTTTTATAGTAGATTTAAAAAATAGTAAGTCTATCTCTGGGTGTTTCTTAAATAATATAAGAACAATTAAAAGTTATAATAGATGCTATCCACATGCATGTGGGTAATTAAATTAGAACAGAGAGCATAGGGGGCATTTCATTTACTAAAAACTGATTTCATATCATAAGAATATTTGTTTGTTTATAGAATGGATACAAAAACTTAATATTCTAACTTACACTACCAGATTTCTGACAACAAACAGATATTAAATCACCCATTGCTGAAGTAAGTTATCATGCAATACATCAAAATCCCAGATTTTTCTTATTATTATAGGGTGAAATTATAAAATTGGTCTTCCACACTTGGAGAAGGGCAAGAGATAAAAGGAACAGTGGTAAATACTGTTATGCACACAATCCTGCAATAAAGGTGATCTATGAATAGATGTTGGACTCCTGGTATGGTGCCACAGGATAAGCACTGAACCTCAATGTCAGTTTGAACCTAAAGGTGGTCAGTTCAAACTCATGAGCTGTTCCTCAAAAACCTATACAGGGTAACTATATGTCAGATTCGACTCAATGGCACTTAACTACATGAGTATATGCATAAACAGACATCCAGGCTTAGTGGATGTTGGAGGGCGAGTGGGAGTATACCCATGAATATATGTAGGTTTGACAGAGGACTAATATCAACTGTTCTGAAAGTGATCACATTAGTTCATCATAGATCGTATGGGAGAAAAATGTGGGACAATATATATATATAAAATTTTGAGTTTTGTCCCACAACATATATATATATATATATATATATATGTTTATTGGTTAGATAGAGGCTGGTAGAAACCCTGGGACTTTGGTCCTTAGTCTCCCTTTAGGTCTGGGATTGAACTCACCCTGATAGCTCGTTAGCCATACAATAGATATTTATAAGGAAACAATACACTAAGAAGGATGTACAGCTCAGAATATGAATCATTTGAGATCAAAAAAGGCAGCATTTATTCAAGGACAAAGTTCAGAAGGGTTAAGATAAAAGTAATAGAAACAGGAAACCCAGAGAGGAAGTGGGATAAGTCATGTTACATTGTGGGGACTGTAATCAACTAGAGGAAATAAACTGTGCATGAATTGTTGACTGGAAAAATGATCTTCTCTGTTAATGATCCTCACCCAATTCACAGTGAAAAAACACACTATAAAAAGCTGTGTTTTTTTTTTTTTTTTTTAAAAAAGAACACACTGACAAATTAACAGAAAAAAAGAAGTGTTTCAAAGAGCAAAGACAGCATCATACACATGTAATTCTATTAATGATAATAAAAAGAAAAGCTTTATTTAAATCCAAACACTTTCTTTGGTACCACATATTGAAGCTCAAATCTAAGTTTTATTTACAGTTTCTTTAAAATCTCAGGGTATAATTAAATTTTGAGATTGAAGTGCACAGGATCCAGAACCAAAGTCCCTGAATTAAAAAAGCTTTCTTCACTATTTGCCTCTGAGAAAGTTGCCTGTCATTTTGTCCTACTATGCTGGCTTGCTTGTTACTGTGATGTTAGAAGCTATGGCACCAGTGTGTTAAATACTAGCAGGATCACCCATGGAGGTCAGGTTTCAGCTCAGTTTCCAGACTATGACGGACTAAGAAGAGGGAGAGATAGACTACTTATAAATGCTTAGCCAATGAAAATTTTATGATTAGCAGCAGAACATTTTCAGATACAGTGCAGAAATATGAAAACATTATGATTAGCACCAGAATATTGTCAGACATGGTGCAGAAAGATGATCTCATCAGGTTGGAAAGCACTCAAAATAAGACTTGGAAAGAGTATTAAGGTAGAGACAACGCAAATGGAGTAAAGCTTTCAGGACCTTCTCTTACTGATGGGGTGCAACGCAAAATGAGGAGAAACCACTGTAAACATATTCGAAATGTGGAATGTATGAAGTATGAATCTAAGAAAAGTGAAAGTTGTAAAACATGAATGGAAGTGCTAAAGATCAATATCATAGGCTTTAGTGAGCTGAAGTAGGCTGGTACTGACCAATTTGAATCTAACAATCATATGGTTTACTATGCCTGGAATGACAAATTGAAGAGGAATGGTCTTGCATTCATCATCGAAAAGAATATTTCAACATGTGTCTTGCAGTATAATGTTATCTGTGACAAGATAATATCCATAAGCTTAGAATGAAGACTAGTAAATTTTATCATTATTCAAATTTACATACCAACTACTAAAGCCAGTGGTTATGAGATTGAATGATTCTATCAAATTCTTTACTGTGGAAAAAATCAGACATGCACGCAAGATATATTGATAATTATGGATGATTGGAATATGAAGATTGCAAAAAAGAGGAAGGATCAGTGGTTGAAACATAGATCTCTGATGACAGAAATGATGCTGGAGATAGCATGAAAGAATTTTTCAAGACTAATGACATATTCATTGCAAATATTTTTTTAAAACAAAATAAAAGATGACTATGCCCAAGGAACTCATCAGATGGAATATATAGATATCAAATTGACTACATCTGGTGGAAAAGCTCAATATCATAAGTAGAACCACGGCAAAGGGCAGACTGTAGAGTAGACCATCAATTGATCATATGCAAGTTAAAGTTGAAGCTGAAGAAAATTAAAACAAATCCACGAGAGACCAAATATGACCTTGAACATATATCATCTGAATTTAGAGACCAGGTCAAGAATAATAGATGTGATTCATTAGACATTAATAACCGAAGACCAGAAGAGTTGTGGGATATCATCAAGAAGATATCATACAGGAAGAAAGCAACAGGCCATCAAGAAAAGAAATAAAGAAAAGACCAAAATGGAAGTCAATAGAGACTGAAACTTGCTCTCCAGAGCAGAGAAGCTAAAGCAATGGAAGAAATGAGGTAAAAGAGCTGAACAGAAAAGTTCAAAGGGCAGCTCGAGAAAACAAAGTCAAGTATTATAATAAAATGTGCAAAGACCTGGAGTTAGGAAACCAAAAGGGAAGATTATCCTCAGCATTTTCAAATCTGTAACTGAAGAAAAAAGTCAAACCTGGACTTGAAGTATTAAACAATTCGATGGGCAAAATGTTGAATGACGCAGAAAGCATCTAAAGAAGATGGAAGGAGTACACGGTGTTACTGCAACAAAACATATGGGTGATGTTCAACCATGAGATAGTATACAATCACTCTTCATGGTACTGAAGGAAACAGTCTACAGGGCACTGAAGGCAATGGCCAAGAATAAAGTTCTGGAAATTGATGGAATACAGATTGAAATCTTTCAACAAACTGCTGTTAACACTGGAGGCACTCATATGTCAAGAAATTTGGAAGATGTGGCCAACTGATTGGAATATGTCCATATTTGTGCCCATTCTGGAAGGTGACTAAAAAGAATGCGGAAATCATTGTACAATGGTCATTAATGTACCATGCAAGTAAAATTTGGTTAAATATAATTCAAAAACAGCTGCAACAGTTCATTGACATGGAACTGCTGGACGTTCAAGCTGCATTCAGACAAGAGCTGTGGAATGAAGGATATAATTGCTGACGTCAGATGGCTCTTGGTTGAAAGCAGAGGCAACCAGAATGATGTTTACCTGTGATTTATTGACTATAATTATGGATAACATTGTGAAGAATGGGTATTTCAAAACACTTAATTGTACTTCTGAGGAGCTTATACATAGGCAGTTGATCAAATACTACAAGGGGATACTGAATGGCTTAAAATCAGGAAATGGGTGCATCAGGGTTGTATTCTTTCACCATATTTATTCAATCTATATGCTGAGTACACAATCTGAGAAGCTGAATTGTATGAAAAATGTTGCATCCGGTTTTGAGGAAAACTCTTCAACAACTTGCTATGTGCTGTTGATACAACCTTGCTTGCTCTAAGTGAAGAGGACTTAAAATACTTGATGATAAAGATCAAAGACCACAGACTTCAATATGGGTTGTGTCTCAATGTACATAAAACAAAATTCCTAACAACTGGATCAATAGACAACATCATGATAAATAGAAAAAAGACTGAAGTTGTCAAAGACTTCATTTTGTTTAGATCCACTATCAACAGTCATGAAAGCAGCAGTCAAGAAATCAAACAAAGAGTAGATGACACTTGAAGAATTGATTCATTTGAGCTATGGTGTTGGAGAAGAATATTAAAAGTATCATGGATGGCCAGAAGAATAAATATGTCTGGGAATAAGTACATCCAGAATGCTTCTTTGCAACCAAGATCGCAAGAGCAAGACTATGTCTCTCATATTTTGGGCATATTATAAGGAGGGACCAGTCCCTGAACAAGGACATGATGCTTGGTAAAGTGGAGGGTCAGTGAAAAAGAGGAAGATCTTAACAAGATGGATTGGCACAATGGCATCAGCAGTGAGTGTTATCATAACAATAATTGTTAGGATGGCTCAGGACTCTTGTGCATAGGGTCCCTATGAGTCTAAAATGACTTGATGGTACCTAACAACAACAACAATAAAGTTGCTTTATTTTTCTTTAAAATAGTGATAATTATGCTCCAATATATCATAGGGTCTCCATAACTGTTTAGTGAGTTAATGTATGTGTTATGCTTATAACAAAGCCTAGAAAATCATGCTTTATAAGCCCTGGAAGTGCAGTGGGTTATGAATTTAGCTGTTTCCTGCAAGGTCAGCAATTCAAGTCTACCAGCTGTTCTGTGTGAGAAAGATGAGGCTTTATGCTCCCATAAATATTTATTGCCTCAAAAACCCTATACAGGGTCTCTACAAGTCAGAACCAACTCCACGGCACACAACCACTCACCAAAGTATTTCTATTTTGGTGCCCTGGTATGGTACAGTAGGATCAACAGGACAGCTAGCCACAAGATTCATGATTGAAACCCACCAATCACCACTAGGAAACCCAATACAGGGTTACTATGAGTCAGAACTGACGAGATAACACTTAGCAGCAGGCGATTATCATAAAGATTATACTATATTGAGATCATAGAAAACACAAGTTCTTAAGAGATGTGTATTTTACTTTAAAAGTAAAACTGATCATGAAGTATTCGTGATCTTTTAATTTAAAATGTTATTTCACTATTTCAAACTTTTATGAATTAGTCTTTTGTTAACCTATAACAGGAAGTATGTTTTTAATTTTTTCCTGAATTTTATGCATTTGAAATTACCTGACTTAAATATTCCAATCCAGGTGGACAGTTCAATGGAGGTGGTGGTGCTGGCATCCATGGTATCCCAGCAGGTCCACCTGGCTGACTATACATTGGCTGATGCTGGACAGGAAAGTTGGCTGGACCAACACCAGAAAATCCAGCTGGTGGGGCGGGATAGCCAGTTGGTGGGGCTTGGTAGCCATATTGGGGACCAGGGTAGCCTTCATGTCCTGGAGGTCCTAAAATACCAACAAGTAAAGTAATTTGTAACTATATTGTAAAATAGAAGCATCAGACCTTCTAGGATTTTGCCAGGTATCTGTAAACTGAGCTTTCAGCTCCATCATCCTATTTTCATGAAGCTTAATGTTTGTGCTTTTATCTTTCAGTGATTTTTCCATGTTCATATTCATTTTCATTTCAAAGGCAAAATACAGTTGGTTCATATACTTACTCTTTTATTTTTTTTAAGTTTTTATTGTGAATTGAGTGAAAGTCTATAGAGCAGAGCATCAATATTATTTTTTACACACAACAAATCATATGCCCTATTTCATTGCAATGATTATAATCCCCTCCATGTATCATCAGTCAACAGTATTTCTCTCTATTCATATTCATTTTAGTTTTTTTTTTTTTTTTTTTTTTTTAAACACTCAGGCATATATAATCATTTAAATGATCAAAGGGCACATTCTGCAAGTCTGCTTCCTGGCCGCCATCTCTTAGTCCCTCTCTTCCCATGAATCTAGAGTCCTCAGCTGCTCCCTGTCTCCATGCCCCTATCTCTGCTTCTATCTCTGGTGTCGTTGCTTCTCTGGATAAGGTCCCACATTCTGCTTGTGCTCTTCTCCCTTGACAGACAGTCCTAGGGTCCTCTGTTTCTGGACTGTAAGATTAACTACTCTCCTGTTTTTGTTATAAAACTTCTATCTTTTCAATTGTGACAGTTGCAATTAGTCATGATAACAATTACTCACTATTGAATCATAAGAATCTAATCGTCATCTCTTTTCATCAGATCCTTATAGACAAGTTGAAAACTATTCAGTGGGGACTTTAGAAAAGATCCATATTTATGCCTATTCCAAGTAAATGTGGAAAGTATCGAACAATATCATAATATCACACACAAGTAAAATTTTGCTTAAGATAATTCAAAAACTCTTATAGTAATACATTAAGAGGGAACTGCCAAAAATTCATGATGAATTCTAAAGAGGATATGAAACCAGGAATGTCATTGCTGATGTTAGAAGGATCTTGTCAGAGAATACAAAAAAGATGTTTACCTATAATTTCCTGACTGTGCAAAGGCATTAGACTGTGTGGATCATGAAAGAGTATAGATAACATTGTGGAGAACGGGAATTCCAGGACATTTCAATGCACTCATATGGAACCTGAACATAAACCTAGAGGCAGTTCTTCAAACAAAACAAGGGGATGGTGAATGGTTTAAAATAAGGAAAGGTGTGAGTCAGGACTATAGCCTTTCAGAATACTTACTCAATCTGTATGCTAAGAAATAATCTGAGGATATGGACTATATGAAGAAGACCAGAACATCAGGATTGGAAGAAGGCTAATTATAAACCTGTGATGTGCAGATGATTCAACTTTACTTGCTGTAAGCAAAGAGGACTTGAAACACTTACTGATGGGGATCAGAATACAGCCTTCCTTCAGTTTGGTTTGCATTTCAATATAAACATAAAAGAAACATCCTCACAACTGTACCAACAAGCAGCATCATGATAAATGGAGGAAAGATAGAAGTTGACAAAGCCTTCATTTTACTTGGCTCCACAATAAATATCTATGGACCCAGCAGTAAACAAATCAAATGAGATATCATCTTACTCCAACATTAATAGTAAAGTTAAAAAAACAAAACCAGAAAAACAAATGCTAGAGAGGGTGTGGAAGGTATGCAACTCTCCAACACTGCTGGTGGGACTGTAAAATCATGTGGAAAACTTTCTCAGAAGGTTGGAAATAAAAATACCATAAGACCCAGCAATCTTTCTTCTTGGTGTCTATCCTCAAGAATTAAGAACAATGACACAAGTAGATACTTGCAAATTCATGTTCATTGAATTATTATTCACAATTGCAAAATGATGGAGACAGTCTAGATGCCAATAAGCAGAGGAATGGTTCAACAAACTTTGGTACATACAAACAATGGAATATTATGCAACACTGACGAATAATGATTAATCTTCAAAACACTGTATAACATGGAGGAATCTGGACGATATTATGCTGACTGAAATGTGTCAGTCACAATGAGATAGATATTATATGAGACCACTATTGTGAAAAGCCAAGAAAAGGCTTTAATTCTATAATATACTTTCTAAGATGGTAACCAGGGGTGAGAGGGAAGGGAGAATTATTCACTGGGCAGAGTGAAGACATGGGCTACTTGGGGGACGGTGAAGGAAGTTAATAAGAAAAGGAAGGATAAAAGAAGAAAAGGAAAAGAAAGAAAATTGATTTCTTCTTTTTTTTTTTTTTTAGTCTTTTTCCCCATATACTGGAAGAAAAACAATGTATCTTATTTATTTTCCCATTAGGACAAACAATTGGGAACTTTCTGGCAAATAAAAAATAGTAAAGAAGGGAAAAAAAAGAAAAAGAAAGGAGGAAAAAAGATTTGGGAATGGATATTGGTGATTGCTGTGCAACATGGGGAGTGTGGCTGATGTGGCTGAATAGGAAAAAAAAGAAAAAAATCAAATGGCATTTTGTATTAGGCAAGTCTGCTTCAAAAGACTTCTTTAAACCATTCTCAAGGAAAAACGTTACTTTGAAAACTAGTGTATGTCTGACCCAAACTATATTATTTTCAACTACCTATATGCATGTAAAAGTAGAACAATGAATAAGGAAGTTCAAAGAAGAATTGATCCCTTTGAATTATGTTGCTCAAGATAGTGAATACACCATGGACAGGCAGAAGAAGTAATTCATCTGTCTTAAAACAGTACAGCCAGAATATCTTTAGTAGTGAGATAGTTAGACTTGTCTCATGTACTCTGGACATGTTATCAGGAGGAAATTATTATATTATTAATGCCTTGGCCTTGATACCAGAGATTCTGATTTAATTCTTCTGAGATGATTTCACAGCACTATTACTTTTTACTGCTTCAGAGTCAAGGTTGAAAACCACACCTCTAGAGTCTTGGATCTTTTCTATTGCTAGTTCTTTTGTTGTTGTTATTAAGTGCCATAGGGTCAGTGGTGGTTCTGGTTCATAGCGACACTATATATGGTTTCCTAGAAGAGGCTGGTGAGTTTGAACCACCGACCTTGAGGTTTAAACTGATCTTGTGGTCCTGTGCTTGTGCTACAGCATGCTAGCAATGTGCTAATTCTTTTAGTTACAAGTATTTAGATGCGATCCAGACCCCATTGGGAGGTTTTCCTGGCCTAGACATGCCATTCAAGCTCCAAAGCAAATTTATTGATTCAAGAAGAAAACAAAGATACATCCTTCTGCCCAAACTGGTTTCCCTTTGACACAAAATCTCTACTATGTTACTCAAGATGTGGGTAGTCCGTCCATCCACCTCTTTGTATATCTGAGGGTATTAAGCACATGGCCATTTGGTGAAGTTTTCATAACTATTATAACTGTATGTGTCTAAATGAAAAAAATCCCTAAATTCTTTTATGTATTGATTCAAAACAAAACAAAAAACATGTATTGCTTCCTATGGAGCAATATAACTCAGTTTTTTGTTGTTGTGTTGTTGAATATGCAGTGTATGATTCAGCATGTAAAAAAGTAAAGATTTGTTATAAAATGAAAATGAGAATTGTTCTTAGGTAGTTACATTTCGATTACTTCCATTTCAATGTTAAGCTGTCTTTTTTTTTTTTTTTCTCTGACTCTGAAAAAAAAAATGGTGGTGTGCTGTAGGATCAGCATTGGACTGTGACCCACAAGGTTGGCAGTTCAAACCCACCATCTGCTCCTCGGAAACCCTGTACAGGATTGCTAAGAGTCAGAACTGACTCGACAGCACTTAACAAACAACAACGCTATGGCCTGGTGTGGTTAGCTCTGGCTTGCTAACCATAAGATCGGCAGTTCAAATCAACTGGCTGCTCCTTAGAAACCCTATATAGGGTTGCTATGAGTCAGTACCAACTCAATGGCACTTAACAAGAACAACTATGTGATTCAAAAACATCCATGGATAAGTATCCTAAATGCGATTGCAAACCATTTTCAGAACAGATGGAAGATCAATAAAATCTTTATTTGTATCTATTTGTTGTTGTTGTTAAGTGCTGTCGAGTTGATTCCGACCCATAGCAACCCTGTATAGGGTTTCCAAGGAGCAGTTGGTGAGCTTGAACCACAGACCTTGTAGTTCAAATGGCTTTGCAGACTGGCACATTAACCCACAGTGCCACACCAGGACTCTTGTATCTGTTTAGGGGGGTTATCTTATGAAGGGACTCCTATTGTGCCACTCTGGGTTAATGTACTAGACTGCAAAGGTCAGTTTGAACTGCAAAGTCGTTGGCTCAAGCTCACTAAACGCTCCTCAGAAACCCTATACAGGGTCACTATGAATTGCAACTGACTTGACAACACTTAACAGCAACAACAATTTATGAAGAGCCTTATATTTCATTTGCTAAATGACTATTCACTACTGTTTTCATTGACTCTCTTTTACGTTTTAAATATACTCTCCAGATAAAAAAATAAATAAAACTAGGCTGCCAAATATTTTCATTCATGGCACTTTAACAAAAAGCACTACTAAAATAAATCTCTCTCACAGATATACAAACTTTTAGTGAATTTCAATAATTTATCAGTTTAGTGTTGTCTTCTTCAAAGAAATGTTTTACCTTGGAATGCTGCTGATGGATATGGAGGGGGATATCCTGCTGGCAAATTTGTTCCTGGCTGAGGAGCATTCATGTATACATCTATAAAACAAGGGAGGATGGATACAGACTGCTTTAATAAAGAATATATGTTAGAAAAAAAAAATGCATTGTCCTTAGGTAATATACATTTGTATGGTCTTTTGCTGTATTGAAGTAGGTAAAGTGATTTTCACTTAAGTTGTCCTTATTCTTTTAATATTTAATTTGTAGTAAACACCTATTTCAAGTGAATTCTATTTTAGGTAAAATGAGACCACTAAGTTACTGGGAATGAATTTCTAGTTTTACAAATAATACTGATGACTATTCAAAACCATAAAGATTTAAAGTCTTGGAAAACCTATTCAGGGTCGCTATGAGTTAGAACCAATTCCACAGCACATAACCACCACCATTCAATTCCATGCTTTGAGTTTGCCAGTAATAGAAAGCAGATTGCTTTAAAACTACAAATAGACTGTGAAGAAGGAGACAAATGAAATTAGTTGGATGTGGGGATAGCAGTGGTAGGATTATGGATGATTTAAAAGATATATGTGCATATATATATAACCATTGTTGTTGTTGTTGTTATGTGCCATCGAGTCGGTTCCGACCCATAGCGACCCTGTATAGGGTTTCCGAGGGTGTTAGGGAGCCCATATTACATTCTAGGGTAAGCACTGGAAAGCTAACCAAAAGATTGGCAGTTCGAACCCACTAGCTGCTCTGCTGGAGAAAGATGAGATTTTCCATTCCCATAAAGGTTTACAAGCTCAGAAACCCTATATAGTGTTACTGAGCCAGAATCAACTTGATGAAGTGGGTTTGGTTTGGCTTGGTTTATAACCATGGTTATCAGGATTATTTAAACACTGAAGTCTATGTATCACTTTAAGTATTTTAAAATAATTCAACAATAAGGTTGAACCATATGAAGTTACCAATATGAATGATTTGGGTCTACAAAACATATAACTAATTTAATAATAATAAATTTACATATTAAACTTAGTTATGTGTTTATTCCTGTGACTTCAACAATCTATGTATATACTCAAATGATTCGATCTCCTGATTCTCTCCAGTCATTCTTTTAGTGAGCTTCTCCATCCAACAAATGTTTATTGAGTGTTGACTATGTGACCCGAGCTATGGTTTGAATCTGCTTACATAGAATTAGTGATCTAATGAACCCCTACACTTAAATCATCTTCTTCTCTGTTTCCTTCATAGGTTGTTGTTGTTATTGTTAAATGCTATTAAATAAAATAACTCACTCTATTGGAATAGAAGTCACGGAGATAATCTCCTACTGAGATCAAGGTTTTACCTTGGACAGATACTGGAACACAGTTTTTGAGATACATGGTTCATTCCATCTAAAATTATTCTTTCCTATTTCTCAGTTTCAGGTGAGTAGCACAGCTTCTAGCTTCTTAGCTCTCTAGCTCAAAGCTCTGCTTGCAACCCCCATTTTCAACCCAAGTTGGAATATAGGATCAAATTTAGAATGCATCTCAAGGAAAGCACATCACAAATCTGATTTATTGCTCTACTCTCACCTAATAAGTTATATTTTGGCACCTCCTAACAGCACTATTGGAGTCCTGGTGTGGGGCTGTGGGTTAATGCGCCAGACTGCAAAGGCGTTTGAACGGCAAGATTGGTGGTTCAAGTTCACCAATCGCTCCTTAGAAACCCCATACAGGGTTGCTATGGGTCGGAACTGACTCAACGACACTTAACAACAACAACAACAGCAGCACTATTGCTTGAATAATAATAAATACCTACACATATCCAGGAGTAGACAGTTCAAAAAAATCAGGAGCTCATAACCTCTGGTGCTTGGTTACCAGCGTAGTGATTCTGGACTCAAGAATCCAGGCAGAATTCAATAAGGGACACACACAAAGAGAAAATAATTGCTTGACAAAGGGTCAGGGAAAGCAAAATGCATGTGACTTACAGATGGTGGCATCTGATTTGTGAAATACAACTTAAAATACTCTATAAAATCATAGGATCATCACATTATCCTGATGATTATTCAGTTTTAATTCTTTTGCCATATGTATGTGTGCATTATAAACACATATTTCAATTATACACACATTTCTTTACATAGACACATGGTGGTGGTTGTATGCCGTCAAGTTGGTTCTGACTGATAGCAAGCCTATATAGGGTTTCTGCGGCTTAAGTCATTACAGGAACAGAAAGCCTCATCCTTCTCTCTTGGAGTGACTAGTAGATTTGAAATGCTTACTTTGTGGTTAGCAACCCAGCACATAATCCACTACACTACCAGATCAGATACATTTCATCTATATTTATACCTACATATACATACATGTGGGTTGTTAAGTGCCGTCGTAATGGTTCCAACTCATAATGACCATGTATAGGGTTTTTGAAGCTGTGAATCTTTGTAGGAGAAAAAGGCCTCAATTATCCCCCCCCCCCCACATACATATATACAATTATAAATAAGCAAAAAAGTTTATGAAAGAATGAATTTTGAAATTGAGTTGAAATATCACATAACAACATCAACATTATTGTAATGAGAGGAAAACATCTTGTTTGTTCTTTCAATACAGATAAAATAGGGAATATAGACACTTTGGTGGTGGTTATGTGCTATGGAGTCAGTTCCAACTCACAGCGACCTGATACAGGGTTTCTGAGGCTGTAAATCTTTATGGGAGCAAAAAGCCTCATCTTTCTCCCACGGAACTGCTGGTAGTTTCAAACTGCTGACCTTGAGGTTAGCAGCTCGATTCGTAACCACTACACTACCAGAGCTCCTTAAAGACACTTTAGAACAATAGATTTTGCTTTGGATATTTTCCACCAAATGTAAGGTTTTTTCTCTTCATAAAATTAAATTATTAAGAAACAGAAGAATGTAGTATATACTAATACCTTGTTTACAATATTCTTGGGAAAAAAATTAGAACATATGATTGATAGTTATTTAAACCTATATATATGATTAAGTTATGAAATATATATAGGAAGATGTATCTGAGGATTTGAAATTGAGGTGGCCCAGTGGCTAAAGACTTTTGTTGCTAACTAAAAGTTTGGTGATTTGAATCCACAAGCTGCTTCTTAGGAGAAAGATAATGCTACTCAGCTTCTCTTTAGATTGTTGTTGTTAACTGCTGTTGAATTGGCTCCCACTCATAATGATCCCACACAGGGTTTCCAAGGAGTGTCTGCTGAGTCCCAACCACTGACCTTGAGGTTCAATCTGACCTTGCAGTCCAACACATTAATCTGAAGTGTTACACCAAGACTCCTACTTTAGGATTACAATCTTGGAAATCCTACAGGGAAGATCTACTCTGTTGAACAACACAGTTATGAGTTGGAATTGACTTGATGGCATTAGGTTTTTTATCTGAGATAATTGCTTATAGTTTTTGATTAGTTCTTTAAAATTAATGTTCCATAGCTTTTAATCAATTTCAATAGCAATTTTAAAGAATTACTGCTGCAGTCATGTTCCCCATGCCTACAATGTAATATAAAGGCACTCATTTAAAAGGTAAATTCTGACTATGAATCAACATATTAAATGTTACTATGTGTTAGTATGATTTGAATAATATTTATATATATAAAATGCACACAGAAAAGGGAAAACTGATTTCGGTGTAATAGAGTGCAAATTATACAATATATTTCCAAGTATGCCTAAGTTTTCTTAGAAGGTTTCTCTAAGCATTTTTCTTTTAAAGAAAAAATTAACAGCAGTAGATATTTATGTACATCTTCTCAATCCAAGCACTGAACAGGACATTGTATTCTGGAGTATAAACAACAGAGAGCAAATCACATCACTTCAGAAACCAAATAAACCACTATGATAAATATAAAGTTAATAAAAGCTTGAACATTTTAGGAAGGAATAAACCCAGTAAATTACTTACTTTCTTTGTCCATGATTAAAATAGTTCTGAAAAAGAAAACTTGATATTAATACACTGTTCAAATCTGACTATTGATACAGGATTATCACCTTTAATACTGTATACTGTATAGTCACACACAATATTCACCAAGTCTAACAGTATGTGTGTGGGCATTTTAAAACTTTGGGCTTGGTCACATGTTCTTGCGAAATTCTATCATGCGATCTCCAGCATCGATTCTGTCACCAAGGCCATATTTTTCAACTACTGATCCTTCCTCTTTGTGTTTCTAAGTGGGACATTAATGGGATGTCTCTAACGGCCTGATGAGGAATGTGTCAGAGGGGAAGACAACCACAAAGGTAACCAGATTAGGAATTGAAGGCTTTACAATTTAAGGAGAGTTTGTAGTCCAGTATTTAGCCTCTGGATGGGCTTTGCGCATAATCCATCAAGTGAAGGAAAGAAGGTAACTATCAGTATACACTGTTACAACTATTTCTGGAGACTGCAGACTTTAAGGACAGGTAAAAGTCATAACAAGGTTATTATAGTTAAACCTACAGAGGGATCATTAACATCAGTCCTTTGTCAGTTTGTCTTACTGTGCTGGCTTTTATGTTGCTGTGATACTGGAAACCGACCATTAGTATTTTAAATACCAGTAGAGTACACCCATGGTGGACAGGTTTCAGCTGCACTTCCAGACTATGACAGACTAGGAAGAAAGAGATATGTATTACTTCTGAGTGTTTAGTCACTGAAAACTTTATGAACAGCAGTAAATACTGTCGGATAGCACCAGAATATTGAATATCAAAACATGTCGAATAGCAAAAGAATATTTTCAGATAAAGTACTGGAAAATGAGCCCCTCAGGTTAGAAAGCACTCAAAATATAATTGGGGAAGAACTGCCTCTTCAAAGTAGAGTTGACCATGATGAAGCACATAGAGTAAAGCATTTGGGACCTTCACTTGCTAATGTCACACAACTCAAGATGAGGAGAAAAAGCTGCAAACATCCATTGATAATTTGAAAGTAGAATGTACAAAGTATAAATTTAGAAAAATTAGAAGTTGTCAAAAACGTAACGGGATGCATAAAGGTTGATAAACTAGATATTAGTGATTTGAAATGGAATAGTATTTGCCATTTTGAATGACAATTGCATGCCTAGGATGACACAATTAAGAGGAATGGCATCACATTCATCATAAAAAACAAAACAAAACAAAAAAAAACACATTTTAAGAACTATCTTGAAGTATACTGCAGTTTGTGATAGGGTAATATCCATATGCTTACATGGAAGACCAGTTAATACCACTATTCAAATTTATGCACCAACCACTAAAGCCAGCGAAAATGAAATTGAAGAATTCTACCAACTGCATCAATATGAAATTGATCAAATATGCAATCAAGATGCACTGATAATTACTGGTGATTGGAATGGAAAGATTAAAAACAAAGAAGAAGGATCAGTGGTTGAAAAATATGGCCTTGGTGATAGAAACACTTCACTTCTCTGAAACTTAGAATTGTAATAATTATATTTAAGCATGAAAAAAGATTTGTCAAAATCTCTGGTGTAAAATATTAAGTGACCTTATGGACACTAGGTGGACGAAAACACTGTGTGCCAGGGGAATAAAGATATCCACTTTGTTTCTCCCTGACCATCGGCTTGTTTGCTATAATAAGGATCTTTTGGTTTTCTTGAGCTTATTGGTTTATTTCAGGATATTGACATTCAGTTTTGGACAGGAGCAAGCTGTGTCCTAATTCAATTTAAAAATTTGACAGAATAACTTTTAAATGCTGTCTTATAATACTGGTAAACAAAATCAAGAAAGAATTTCAGGAAAGAGAAAATCGTATTTGTGCTGTGCCATTGGGGGAAAAAAATGTGAATGTCATTATATAGTGTTCCACTGGAAGCTCAATTACTAAAGGACAAGCACAGATTACAATATAATCTCATTACTACATACATCTTCCTAACTCTCTGTTAAATGAGGGTTTAGAGGAAACTTGTGTGCAATATACAACACATATTGCTTGCAGGCCAGGGGTGAGAGGAGGATGGGAACCCAACACTTGCTGAAGTAACTAACAGCTTAAATTATTTCCATGTTATTTAGATTGCCTGTAAGTACATTTTGAAAAGGTGTGGTTAACATCAAAGGAAAACAGAAATGCTATCTGCTGTGACTGTACTTTGGTAGAAGACGAATCAAAGAAGAATCAGGAGCAATTCAGTATACTAACACACAAAGTATGTGAAATATGGGAAGGAAGTGGGTTGTGCCTGAGGTTGAATCTAGATGCAAACACATTGTGACTGGAAAGCCTTCTCTAAATATTTCCTCTTACATCTTAGGTTTAAGAAAATAAAATTCCAATATGCTCAGAGCCAGTTTAGAAGAGCATTTTATAGTAAATCTTGGATAAATATGCATGATAAGCACCGAAGTGTGAGCCACAAGGTCCACAGTTTGAGCCCACCAGCCGCTCCTTGGGAGAAAGATGAGGCTTTCTGCTCCCTGGAAGATTTAAAGCTCAGGAATCCTGTACAGGGTCACTATGAGTTGGAACTGATGTGAGGACACTCAACAACAACAGTCTTCAAACATCATGTGGGACCAAATGAGATGATGGTGCTTCAGTTTCGTACAAAACCAATACGTAAATAACAGACAAAACAAGAAGTCCTGTAGTTGGTTATTCTTCTTTGATTCTTTTACTTTATTAGTCCTGAAAACCCTGAGTTTCCTCTCATAGTTGGGCTATTTCCTTTCTTCCTTTTTAATGATGAAATTAAGCCCACAAAGGTAAACCGACTACTTAGTGCCTTATAGTTGGCTCACTAACTAGTTAAATTAAGGTGGTTCATCAGTGCCTGTCCTTTGCACTCATGAAAAGACATTCTTTCAAATTGCCAGCTTCCCATGAAATTTGTTACAGGAAGATCTTTATTTTATGTAAGGCAGAAATAGCTTGAAACTTAATTTATGCTTTTGGTCATATAGCAAAAACTATGGCCTGGCCTAGTAAAAACAGAATTCTTATTTAAAGCAAAATTTGGAAAATATAAAAAGGCCAATTTTTAGTAATGATATAATTAAACTTCTTCGGCTTTAAGATTTAGCACCATTCAAGGTTGTTGTTGTTGTTAAGTGCCGTCGAGTAGGTTCCGACCCATAGCGACCCTGTACAGGGTTTCCGAGGCTGTAAATCTTTACGGGAGTAGAAAGCCTCATCTTTCTCCCG